AATGAAATGTAGTAAGAAACCAGAGGAATTAGGCTGAGCATATTTTCAAATGTTTTGCTCATAAATGAGCAAAAGTTTAAGTAATTTCTGTGTTATGTGGTTGAAAATTCAGAACATTTACGTTATTTAATTGTGAGGTTGTTTCGTGACATTCTGGATGAGTCTTTTTTGTGTTCTCGGAATAAGTTGGAGGCTACGCACACCTGGGAAGGTTCAATGCTGTTCCACGTTGTCTCCATTTGTGCTGTCATGGTGACTCGCTTGAGTCAACAAATCAGGACTGATGAATTTGGTTTTCACCTGTTCTTAAATTGTTTTCACATCAGGGCATGATGTGTTGCGTTTTGATCCTACTTCATGCTCTCAGAGAAATACTTTGTTATTTTCTTAGGCCTGGCACGTTTGGGATCTGGGTGTAGCTGAGGAAATTAGTAAGAAAAAAAAAAAAAAGAAATCTGTTGGGGAGCAAGTACTAAACGCACTACATGGATTCCACTTGGTCTCACACAAGAAAACATCCTCCATGCCTCCACAACATTAGCTTATAATGACAGCATGATGTAAATCATCAGATTTTGCTAATAAAGTAAACTTTGCTCAACCCATCTGACACTATGTGTTTCACCCTAATCAGATCAAGTAATAAGCAAATGGCGCACACCCGTGGTAATTACCAAGCAAATGGTAGAAAACCCATAATTACTGATAATAATTAAACATTAGCGCATCATCTGCTTAAGAATTAGAGACACAGATATGACCCAAATACCCTACTTCTGTAAAAAGGATTATGTTGTTTTGGTATTTCTCCAAACTAATGTTTTCAATTACGGTTAAGTGGCATTATTCATAAATGACATTTGGTTGATCTGGCAGCAAGTAGCCTGTTTAGTGGAGGAAAATTTGAATTTTATCCTCTGTTGGCATTCGAGTTGAGAGTTAGATCACCCAGGGCAGGGGAGGTCAGAGGGTGAAAGGGCAATGGATGTCTCAAACAGAAAGTAGCTCAAAATCATTTAAGGTGGAAGTCAGTCGAGGGGGTTTCTGTTTGTTTCCAAGTTTTTAATACAAGCTTTTATTAGCATTTAATTTCTATAGAAGAAAGATAATGAAACATAAAATTACTCCTGGGAGACAGTTTTGAGCACAAGTCTCAGATTTGCAGTCAATGAGAACAACACACAAGTCTAATTCTATTGTGGCATCATCTGTTGTGCCCTACTTTAGATCCTACTGTTGTGGTCTGCTGTCGCATGAGGCCTGGGAGGCTCTAATTGCATTTAATTTACTTAGTATGATGGTAATACCACAATCTGCATCTGGAGTCATGAGAAAGCCTTATGCCGGGATTCACAAAATATTACTCTGCTCCATGCGTTTCTTGTTTTTCCTTTATTCCAGTGTGACATTCAGCATTTACAACCTACTCTTAATTTGTATTTTTAGTGTAATTAACCATATTGGTAAAGATGTTATGTAAAAGTGTACATGGAAAGGCAAAATGTGATAGAAAAAAGCCCAGAGATGAATAGATCAGACTTTTGTTAATGTCATGTGGACGCCGAAATATAAAGTACTGCAATATCATACATTAGTTGTGATTGTTAATTTGGCTGATAGATTAGATTGCTTAACTAGTGTAGCAATGTAGCATTGCTAAACTAGTTAAAACATAAAATGTTGCTTGAATGCCTGTTAAGGTTTCATGGATCCAATGTTTAAAGAAAGAATAGAACTTAAATAATTATTTGATTTGGAGTGAGAATAACTAAATTAAAAGTGGCCCGAACATTAAATCTTGCTTTAGGTATTAGGGAAAATTTTGAATGGTAAAAATAACAGTGGCACAAACATTAAACCCAGAGGAACCCCATAAAAGTAATAATTATTGTAATATTTAATGTATCTTAGCTACAACTGACAAAAATTAGGTTGTATGATTGGGTTATAATTCCATGGTTAGTTTGATTTATCTAAGTCAGTTAGTAAAAAGGAAGCATACCTCTCAACTCAATGGTGTTAATATACAACTGATCTGGTGTTTATCCAATGATGAAATAATTTAAATTCAACATAAAGCATGCAAAACACACTATTTCATTAAACAAAAATGAAATCTAAATAAAAAAGTTTGCAAAAGATCAAAGTGCCTCCCAAAAACCTGGCTTATTTACAAAAATGTACTGTCAAACTTTCGATTACTATATTCTCCAACTGTTAGCATTTTGTATTCATGTCATTTTCTTTAAGTTTGGAGATTTAAAGTAAATAAAACTTGTTTATTTTTATGTCAGTTGTTACACTATGACAAGGTTTTGATGAGATTACTTTATTGTTTGCTTTGTTTTGACCTCAGAAACAGGCGGCATCTGCATCGCCCCAAAGCCGTCAGAACCAGACGCAGAGATTGTCCCGGGGATGGCCATGAGGCCCTTCTTTGGCATCAAGCCGGTGCTCATGGACACCGAGGTGAACTGCTTGCTAGCGTGTGCATCTGTGTGTGTCCCACCCCCACAAATGCCGCGGGGCTGGGAGCAGATTGGGGGAAAGGTCAGATTAGGATTATAAAACAGTCGCCACCAGCTGTGTCACTTTTGATACCCACCCTGCTCTCAGCTGTCAGTTACACAGATATGCTGCCTGCAACCCACAGATTGTGCAGGCAGTTGGAGTGATGCATTTCAGCAGACCTTTCTTCCTCTTTCACAGCGGAAACAAACCAAAATAACTTCAGCACTCAGTGCTTACTGTTACATTTCAAACAGTCCAACTGCTTTATGAACTCCCATTTTTACATAATTTCCAGTTCAATTTGTTAAGAGTACACATTTTCCTCTTTTTTCCAACTTACTGCAGTCTTTTGCTTTGCATCAACAAACTTGTCGTCTTTTGTTATTGCAGGGAAAGTTACTAACTTCCAACAACACATCCGGAGCTCTGTGTCTGGCTCAGCCGTGGCCCGGCATGGCAAGAACCATTCACAACGACCACCAGAGATTCCTTGAGACCTACTTCCAACGTTATCCAGGTACCATCTGAAGTGTTCAGAAACAAACAACCTCACGTTTTCAGCCATTTTTGTTTTCCATTCTGCACATCAAAAATGAAAAATAAAAACCCTATTTGTCACAAACTATAGGGTACTTCTTCACGGGTGATGGAGCCTATCGTTCTCAGGAGGGTTACTACCAGATCACAGGGCGTCTGGATGACGTAATCAATGTCAGCGGCCACAGGATTGGGACAGCAGAGATAGAGGACGTAGTGGTGAGTTCACTCGACTCAAACGCACAAACATTATATAGGTAACCTCTAACAGAAGCCAGTTAAATGTTTTACTTAGGTTTACTTTAAACATCTAAATAATTGCACTGATTAGTATCAGGGAAAACAAAGTCACAGTAATTTGTTTGCTAACCAGAAAAAAAAAAAAAAAAAACGCACCGAGTTAGGATACATTTTTGAGCCATGTTTTTCATTCCAAAACTCTTTATTAAATCACTGAATATAAAAGGAAGTTTGCATTTTGTCTGTGACAGAATCAGTGTAGTGCAGTGGCTGAGTCTGCAGTCATTGGATACTCTCATAACATCAAGGGTCAAGGCAAGTACCAACATGTCCTCCACCTGTCTAATTCAACAAATTAGAATATTCGTTCAGATAAAGCCCATTTATCAGATTAAAACTACTTTTTGATATGCCCACATTTCTGTTTTTAAATAGTACTATTTTAATTTTAAATATGCTTTCTTTAGCTGTAAGTGGAAAATTATAACAGAAATAAATTCTTTCCAACACACATCTGTGCGTAATCAATCTATACAATGTGTTTCACTTAGTGAAAGTTCATGAAATATATGAGGTTTTCAGCAATATTTTAATTTTATTATGCAAAGATTTCTTAAATGGCATGTTCTCCTATATTTTCCTTTTTCAAGGTAATTTTGTCAAATGATATTCATGCAGCAGAAAAACAGGAAGTCTTAGATTCTAAGACTTCCTGTCTATGTATTCTTATGCATTCTTAGATTACTAAGAATACATTCTTCAACTCAAATTTTTAAATGATAGAGTGTAAATTTGCAACTTTGATTTCTCTCAGCGCAAAATTACATTTTTGCAGTAATCAAACTGATATAAAGACCAGTCTCTTCTGATTTGTTAGGAGTTTACGCCTTCGTGGTCCTGAAGAAGGATGTAGACGTACAGGAGGCGGATCTGTCCAAGCAGCTGAACAACATGGTGTCTGACAAGATTGCCAAGTATGCTTGTCCTGACTTCATTCAGGTAAATGATCTCTTTGTTGGGTTCAAATTGCAAGCTTACATTTAAAACAGTCTTCACTCAGTTTCTTTATCCTTATCATATCTGTGACGCAGTTTACTAAACGGTTGCCGAAGACGCGATCGGGAAAGATCATGCGGCGCGTGCTGCGCAAAGTTGTGGACCGTGACCTGGATGGTTTGGGGGACCTGAGCACGCTGGACGATCCGGCAGCAGTTCAGGAGATCATCGAAGGCCATGAAAAGCTCTTGAGTAAATAAGAACCATCGGAGTAACTTTCCTGAAGACAATGAAATGTAAAGGAGGTTGTGAAGGATAACTTGCACATTCCCATTAACCACACATGTGCCTTTAAAGAAAAAAATATTTTAATCACCAGATGTTTCTTTTTGTTGAACAAATAATTTTTTTCTTTTAACAATCCATGCATCTTTATTTTAAGACTGTGAAACTTTCAGATGTGGCTATGATTAACATTGTTGCAAAAGTAACTTTAAAGCACTTAAGAAGTGTTTTTCTATGTGATTTATGACACTATCAAAAGTTTTTTGGGTTCAGTTTCTGAATCTTTTTTTTGTTTAGCAAAATACTGCATTTCTTTATTGTTTTAGATAAAAAAAATAATCAAAGTGTTATTCAAGACTGCTCTCATGGATTGATTGTAGCATAATTAAGAGGATTTGAATGATAAATTATTAAGAAATCTCAAGGTTTCCTGCATGTCAGTGGGTTCACGTGGCTTCTTGTCTGAGGCTGAGGGTCCCACTGGTTCCTTTTAACTTGGTTAACTCCCACCGGCCTTCTCCACATAGCTTCAGTTGCATGTCGTGATACTGGAAGATTGGTGAAACAATCATTATTTTCACCACCATATCCTGTTAAGCTGCTGATTTAATTGTGTTAAAAATTAACCCAATATGACCTCTTTAGGGCAGCTAGGTCATATAGTCCTAGCTGCCCTCAGAGAAGTCTTGGTTCTGCTTCCTTGCTTTCTTGAGGCTGTTTAAAGTTTGGACTTTGACTCCAATGAAGCAATATTCCCTAACATTTTGTTTTGTACAGACAAATGAGCTGGATAAAAGTAAATGAAAAAGCAGTGACGGACCAAAGGAAAACTCTGAAAGACTTTATGAAACCAAAACAACAATTGCCTATGCCACTTCAAAAGATTATTAGACGATGTGGCTGTTTTGATGCAAAGTATAAAAAAATGATAGGTTTTCAGTACACCTGATGATTATTCAGCTTACCTTTTCAAGACTGCTACGGTGTCCCAGGCTTATCAAAGTCATGCCCAACTGTTTACAGGTCCGGTACAGTTGAGCCTCAGCTTCCTCTGTCAAAGCACTGGTGGCTTCGTCTAAAACTAGTGGATTAAGAAGAAAAAATGTTTCCTTACCTCTAAATGGCGCTGTATGTAATTTTCAGAATAAAGGGTTTAGACAAAAGTCGCTGGTCACACCTGAGCTGCAGAGCACCAGAGGAACTCACCTGCATATTTTGGCTGCAGATAGAAGAGTCGTGCAAAGGAGAGGCGTTGCATTTCACCTGGAGACAGAACATCATACCTGCAGGAATATAGAAAAAAAACATATTAGAAAGGATTATTTTTATTTTTTATATTCATATCTTCTACTTTATCTTGCTGTTAATACCAGTTCCAGTCCACCTTCACATCCAGACCACCAGCTCGTTTCAAGAGGCTTGACTGTAGAACGCATAGCAAAGGGGGTTTATTACCAGTTTATAAACAAAGTCCCCAAGATCTCAGAAACATATTGTTATTTCACTTTTACTCACCACTCCTGCTAGTTCCAGGAATTGTACAATTCTATCATCATCTACTGACCCTGAAAATGAGGCTTAATAAATATTATCGTCTCACGTTAGTCACAATAATAAAGAAGCCATGAAGTAGCACTAAGACAGAAAGCATTTGAAATGGAAACAATCCTAGAAATGTGCTTTATAATAAACTCTTAATCCTTTGTTCTAATTATTTTTCCCTATTCTTTTGTAAAGTGCCTTGAGATGGTATATTATGAGATGGTGGATTATAAATAAAGATAATTTTATTTATCTTTGACCACAGCATTTTTTTTCGCCAGTTTTTGTATTGTCGTACAGTTAACTGTTTGATTATAATATGTGATACCTGATGCAGGGTAAATATCCTTCAGTGGGTAAATCACCTGTTTGAGAACAAAGCTCCAATAAATGGGAAGTCACACCAACACACACATACAGTATATTTGTTATTTGAATTCATAAATGAAGTGTCACCTGTTCACGCAGCGTGCCGTCGGTCATGTAGGGTTTCTGAGGTAGGAAGAGGGTTCCTCTGGGACCAAAACATGTGGTCATTTGGACAAAACCTAAAGGCACAAAAAAGAAAAAAAAAACAGAAGAAATTATTGCATCAGCAACCTGTAACGTCGTTTTAAGTGTCACATTGAGCTGTCAGTCCATTTATGTTTGTGTTAATGTAGTTAACAACAAAATACATGCATGAATACACATGCTGACGCATTTTCATAGGTTACTATTTAAACATCCATCTGTGTTCTTCTGCTGGTAATTGATTCAACTGTAAGTGATGTGTCATCACATTTATGTGGAACAGGTAAAACAAGCACTTGTTTCTGGAGTTATTTGTGATACCCTAATGGTTCAACAAGAGTTGGGGTCTTCCTGCCGACTCACCGCTGTGTGCCTCCCAGAGACGGTTGAGGACCCTCAGCAGGGACGTCTTCCCTGTGCCTGTGTTCCCCACCACCAGCAGGTGAGTCCCCTGGCTGATTTTTAGACTCAGATCCTCCACCAGGAGCTGGTCCGAGTATGGAGATTTGTACGAAAGGTGGTCCAGGATGAAGGCCGTATCCACAGGGCCCGCATGGACATTAAAGTCACTGGATTGGAGAGATTATATTAAAATTAAATGCAGATTGTCTTTTCTACACTTCCAATTTGCTCCCCACTTTCATTGTGTTTGTGTGAAAGCGCTCCTTAACCTGTCAAAGTCGTAGCTTTCCCCGGACGCAGGGTCATAATCACACTGCTTGTGAAGGATGTCATCCATCGCCTCCCTCAGCTCCCCAATCCTAACCACAACAACGCAGAGCTTCAGAGACAGGAGGCCAGATCCCACCAACAAAAACCTGTTGTCGTTAGACATGCAGTGTGATACCTGTGGGTGTATCCCGCCACATCTGACAGAGTAGTAGACAGGTCGATTAGCTGCGTGAAGCCGTTTATCAAGTAGATGCATACAAAGGCATTCTGCGTATAAAATAGGGGAAAGAGAAAGAGGAGAGGCAGGGAATGAAAATCACAACTTTATTGACTAAATGGAAGATAAAACAAGGCAGCAAAAGTCAAAACCTGAGACAAATAGATGTGTTGCAACAAAATATACGGTTAGCTCTTAAACTGAAAGAAAAGAGTTTTTCTGCCATCTAGTGGACAAACTAGGAACAAAAGATTTGATTTCTGCAGCTGCTTCTCAGGAAGGAGCATTTAAAACAACAGGCCTACCTTACTGATGAGTGCGCTGAGTTCACCTGGAGTGAGACCATCATAAACACCCGTGAAGATGGGAATGGCGATTATAATGTAGCTGAGGAACCCTCCAAGGTAATCAAAGGTGTTCACTCCAACTGTGGCAAGAAGAGTTGCAGTTGAAGCGAAGAAGTTTGAAATACATCAGAGGTGAAATGTGTTAATAGTTGATGTTCTTACTATAAAGCCAGAGCTCCTTGTTGATGAGGCTCTTCTGGGTCTCCAGCAGGACCTGCAGCCTTCGGTCAGTTCTCATGTGCTCCACTTTACCAGCTCTAAAAATGAAACACAGACACATCTTTTCATGCAGTTCCATACCTGTTCGTCTTTTTAGCACAGAAACACAGATTTGAATGTCTAAAACTGTTTATTGAAGACTTTATTTAGATGAAACTCTAGTTTTTAGTTCCCAAACGTTCTGTTTTTATTTGACTACGTAAAAGGCCGACGTAATCTTGAAGATGGGAAATCAAATCTGACTAAATAAAAAGAATCAACATCTAAGACATTGACAGTATGGGAAGATACTGTGAATGAATAGAGAGTTTGATTGCTTTGTGTGTGTATATGATACAAATTATTATTTGTTTGGACTCACCTGTAAAAAGCGGCGGACTCTGCATTGACACGAATTTGCATGTGTTTAAATCTGAAAAATAAATTAGCGTATTTATTTTAGTACAACATCCAATCAATTTTAAGCATTAAGGAGGCATTTACAGCACAGATTTTTGATGGTTTTAACGAGATTAAAAAAAGGTCAAATATAAACTGCAAGCTGACACATATCTTGCGTTAGTTAGAAAGGAAAAGGCACCACACCAAAGTCCACAGAAACTTCCTTTACAACAAACCCTGGGGAAAGCTTTATATGCACGAACCAGTGTGTGCAAAGCACTTTGTGGAAAAGTTACCTGAAGTCTCCCTCCAGCTTCTCTTGCTCAAACAGAGTGGACACAATGGGCCCCATGAGGATTTTATTGGCAATAGTTCCAACAACAAAATATCCAAAGATACTCACAGGACCAATCCATCCGGTGCTGAAAAACAAAGGGAATTTATTTTTAGGCTTTTTGTGAAACATATATGTAATTAAGAATCTGTTACATTGTTTATCAAGACCAAAAGAGTTCAGACATATTCTTAGAGTTGGAGATGATGTGAAAACTGCATCATTTGCCTGCTTTCCTGCCTGTCATGAAGATAAAACTACCAATTAATTTCTAAACATAAAGAACAACCAATGGAAGTCAGACAATTAATACATTTAATGTAAAGTGTGTAAAGTTTTGTTTTCAGTAGCTTTATTGAAAGCAAATTGATATTTTATTTTATGAAGAAAATAAAATATCAGGCAACATTTGACAATCTGCTTTGAAAAAAAAAATTTCGAAAATTTCTCCCAGGGCAAAAGCCACATCTTAAAGTTTGCCGTTTATTTCAGCTACTAAACATCGTTCTGCAGCTCTCTTCCATTTTTTTTTTCATACAGTTAAAACCAGTGCAACTGTACCTATCATGTTAGTTTACAACATCTTAGCTTCATAATTGGTCTAACATGTACACTGTCGCAGCTTCCTCCACACTGACCTGCAAAAGCATTGGTAGGTATAGTAAGAAATTGTGAACGGTGAGACAATCAAGCGACTGGCCATGGTGCTCATCTGCTTACAAAACCTCTCCACATCCTGACTGATCCGCTGGTCTCTGCGAGTTACATAGATGCAAAAGAAAAACAGGTAAATTAACTCTGTTTTAATAGCCAAAAGATTTCAAAACTGAGATTTACTGTTCCAGACTGTTGTGTACAATAAAACTGAACATTTTATCTGTGCATGCATATTTCAATTATTTAGGTAGTGGAAATGTAAGAGAGGTAAAACCCTTATGCTTACGGGTTATCGATGTCCTCTTGGAGCACATTCAGTATGTAATAACATCTGCCCTGGAAGTAGGACGAATGAAGGCTCTCAGTTAGGGTCGTCCTCCAGCTGACATACATTTGATTGGAAATGTACTGGTCAAGACTTTTCAGCTGAAAAGCAAAAAATATAAAAATAAAAATAAATCACAAGTTTAAATCCATGAAAGTATTGTGACACTACATTTCGGTTAGGCAGGGAATCAAATAAAAGTGTTAAAGCATATATAAAAAAATACATGTCAGGGTGACCTCGCAAAGATGAAACAATCACACAATTTTATAGCAAACTTCTGAACCATAAAGTAATATGGTGTCTCAGGCGGACAGCTAGATGACTGTATGACAAAAGGCAGAAATAAATTTACAAAATAGCAAATTAAATATGTATAATGTGAAAGCAAGACAAAATTATTTGTTTCAGTAAGAGAAGTGGAATTATATGTCAAGATTTAAACAAATAGATATAACTGATTATTTTAATTTATATCAATAACATAATTTACATAAAAGATTCTCCAAACATCTGCTGTGAGACAATGATCAAACCACTGACAGTTTAAAAGGTAGGGGATCAGGTGACTTTGGTCAGGGGCCAAATTCAATCAGTGTGACTTTATTCTCATGTGACCACAGGAATGACAGATAAGGAGACAATACCAGCAATCACTACTACATCAATTTACCGTGGAGTTGAGCAAAATGAGCACCACAGCTGTTCCCATCAGACTCCTGAAGCCTGAATAATCTTTGTCTGCCAGCACATTGTAGAAGTGACTAGGGAGGATGCCCACCTGGTAAATGATCAGCTGCTCTGGTGGTAGAAAAAGGATGTGTTAGCACATTGCAGTGCTGAAAGATGATTCAGATAGGGAGTCGTAAAGCAGCTAAACCCAAGCTAGAGGTTTAGCAGGATGCATATTTTGCAATCAGACGCAGAAGGAACACGTGTTCTTTAACAAGAAGTTTCTCCAATTTGATGGCCAGTGTGATTTCAGCAATTCATTTCCTCTTTCTGTCTGTGGTTGCTCAAATGGGTTCATAGCTACCTGTCAGAGTGACACTCAGCAACGTCCCGAACATTAGCACACTCTGACTGGACCATGATGGGAACAGAACCCTCTGGATGCTGCAGAACCTCTGGATAAACGTCCAGTCTAGTTTTGGCCTGAATGATTGAGAAGAAAATTATATTTAAAACATTATATTAATTTGATTTTCTGGATTATTTCCTACAAAAGCTAAAACACTGAGATGTTGCTCGGTCTAAGCAGAGAGAAAAAGCAAACTTTATTTGAAAAAAAGACTCAGTATTATCTATGTAAATAATTTTTTTTTAAATTTTTTATTTATTTTTTACCTATTTGTCTTTCTTTCTTTTGACTTTTCCGGGCAAGGCATCTGAACCAGCAGCTGTGAAAGAATTCCCTTCAATATCACAGCTCACATAGGTTATTTATAGGTCAATTAATATTCCTTAAATGTTCAGGCAAACCTGAAAGCAACTTGTGCCTATTGAAAGCACCTCGGGCTCCAGACAATCTGAAAACCAACAGATTTGCAACATCCGAATGAACTGACAGCCACTAGCAAGTGCAGCTACAACTAGAAATGAATGTTAATTCGTGTCCCTTATTATTGTTTCAAGATTATGTAGTTAGTTTTTAAAAAGTGTAACTTATCTCGGTTAAGTCTGCGTTGCTGCTTCACTGTCAACCTCTGCTTCTGCTGAAATAAAATGATTTGGTCAACAACTGTCATACTTCCGGGTTCCCGAGTTCCTCTTCGGTTTTTCGAAATAAAAGTTTAGCATGATATTTTTTAAAAATAGTAATGCAAAATATTGTGTGTGTGTGTGTATATATATATATATATATATATATATATATATATATATATATATATATATATATATATATATATATATATATATATATATATATCCACCTGTGGAATTTTAGAAGAATGTATACTCATGAAGATTCTCATGCTTAACTTGTGCCTATTGAATATAATCTTTTTCATATAGTAACTTAAATTATTGCTAATTAATTATTTAACAAGATTTCCCAAGATATAGACAAATGTAAAACTTTTCAAGAGTAATTTTACTAAACTGTACTTTATACCTTAACTTAGGTAAGTATTAAGTCTTACTTGAGTAACGAATCTGGATGCTCTGCCAACTGTGAGTGACTGCTGAATGAACAAAAAACAAAAAATATAAAACATACCTCCAGCTTACACATCGACAAGTCCTTTACGATGTTCTGTAATATGTATTGTGGTGTTTGTTAGTTTAAAAAAGCAGACTTGGAAAAGTATTTCTCTGTCTAGATTTGTTAATAAATAATATTTTTGTATACTTATATATTTTTAAATCTTTCTTTAAAATTATAGAATTTAAACAGCTACATTTCTGGCTGATGATACATTTTTACATATTAAATCAGATATTCACCTTGCCTTAAAGAGATGGTCTCTCATCTTTTCCATTATTAGAAGCCAAATAGAAGCTCCTACACACACAGTGCAACGTAAAATTTATACTACATAAAGAAATATACGTATTTCTTTATGTAGGATTATTTTCCCCACTGAACAAATGATCAAATTGGAAACCATTTTTTTCCCAAAACGTTCAATTCCATTGCAATAAACATGATTTAATTTTATAACTCTTTCCACATTTCAACCGGGACTACCAAAAAGTACTGAGAGCTCATAATGATGGTTGAGTATTTCTTGGTGCTTTGGATCTTTCCTTTATCACCACTTGAACTTTTTACTGAAAGCAAGAAGAATGATGTCTTAATAGATAGTAATTTAGCCCCAAATAAGAGCACATATGAACATCCTTGACAGAAAAACAAACAAACAAAAAAAATTTGTTTTTTTCATTGTTTCTGAGTTAATGTGCATTGTCCTGGTATGAACAGAAAGAGCCGATGATGGAAAAACATCTATATGGGGAAAGGAATATATTGGTTTTAATACCAGAATAAATCTATTCTACAACAAAATACAAACAGCTATATCAACGGCAAAAGTAGAGTCAAAGTTGTCAGACATGCAGTTTACAAATGTCAAATGAGATGCCTCTGAAAACCAAAACAATAAATAAAGACAATTTTACACACTACTTGTTTTGAAAGCAAAAATTCAGGTAATTTATCAAAAATATGTTTATTTCTTCAAATGATTATTGATCAGTGTACTTATACTTGGGCTAAATAATCAGTAGAAATACTGAAAAAAGTCGCTACAAGAAAATAGAAGTAACAACACAAAAACTTTGAAGTCAAAAACCCTGATTCATTAAAATTCACTTAAAATACTGCAGTAAATGAGATCTGCCACAATCTCTCCTGTGGCTTGAATTATTTTGAAAATATGAATCTCTAAAAGAATACGGCTCTATATTTTAACAACCTTTGGAAATGTGAAATAGGGTCTTCAACAGTGAACTCAAAACCATTAAAATACATTTGAAACATGTATTTGTATAGGCCCGTTTGAAATCTAAACCCCTTGACAATATGGAAATCTTTAAAAGACCTGGATATTGTTTTTGATATAATAATCATTACATACAAGGACATACGCTAAGCAAGTCAATAAATAACAATAGTTGTTTTTACTATTGTCTTAAACTGAATGTTTTCTTTGCTCAGATATTTAAAAGTTAGTAAATACTGCACTTTTTTTCACGTACAGCATACTCTGCATTTACTGGCATGAGACAGTTAGTTGTCCAGCAGAATGGAAAAAACGAAAGGCAGATGTTTGTCAATAATTGTGGCGAAAGATGTGAATTTAAAAAAAAAAGAAAAAAGAAACAATATGAGTAAAAATGCGCCAATCTGTCGGCCAGAGATCAGAATTGTTCAATTTTCTTTTGATAGTTTCTGATGAGAAATCAGCAAGTAAGACACAAAAACCCCCCAAAAACATATTTTCCCTTCATTAACTGCATCAGAACAAGCAGCTCACCATTTTCAGTCTGAATAGAATAACAACAGAATGATTTAACAGAAAAGGAAGGAAATGGTTCTTTTATTTTTTGTTGAATGAAAAAAACATATCTTGAAGCACATTTCTTCTGTATTTTTAAATTATTATTTAAAAAATAAAACAGAATTGTGATTTGCCAGTTTCTGTAGGTCAATGCCATAGATGAAGGTAAATTAGATGTCTCCTTTTAATTAGAAATGCATCACTAACTAAAAAATTTAAAAAGAGACTGTCCATCTTTAAAAAAAATAAACTAGTGCTTCAGTGGGTCACATGTATTTAAATATAGATTCTTAAGACAAAAGGAAGATTCATTTTTAATTGTTGCGGTTTACTGTGTTTTTTTATTTTTTTAGATTTTCTTTGGCTGAGACAACACTTAATACAATTACATCCTTTTGTGGTTTCTGGTTGGATTTATTTACCCAAATATCAGCTTCATCCTGTAACTATGCTTCGGTCGCTCCGAAAACAACTTGTGTTCTGCCTGAATGAGCAGCGTGTTTCCAAACAGTTTGCACAAAAAACTTAGGCAAGGTTAAAGATCCAGAAGAGGGCAGGCACAAAGCAGACGCTAACAAAACCTACAACACTGTAGACGATGTATCGGTACGGCAGCTCTACTTTCATCTGCTGCCTCGCCTGCCTCACGTCGCCCGACGGCAGCCTGAAAAGATGGCACAAGAACGGGATAGTCACTGCTTTCATGGCCATTCTGGTGGCGAGGAGGACGGCGACGCCGATGACGAAGCGCAGCACGGAGCGCAACATCAGACCCGTGGTGATCGGTGGCATAATTAGTGGCAGTGAGGACAGCGGAGGATCCTGCATCAGACCCAGCTGGTAGTTCACATGTGAAGCCAGGGCGGCGCCGGCCCCGGTGCCGAGAGCCTGAGCGGTGTCGCCGCGAGAGGTGCTCCACGAATCCAACAAGAAAGCTACGAGTCCCAGGCTCACGTGTGACAAGATGATGACGAGAGGAGCATAGTGGTCCGTCATGTAGTAGTTGTCGATCCTCTCCAAGGTCAGATGGAAGAAAGCGAGAACCAGAAGGCTATACAGGAAGCCAGTGATCACTTCCTGCAAAACAGACAAAAACAAAAAGAACAAGCCAGTTCAAAACTGCAAGCTTTAGCTCAGCATCCTGAAAAATCATAAAAGAAACAATGATGCTTTCCGCCCTCAAGGAGGCGCTATGTTCCCTTGTTATTTCAGCATTGGTAGTAAAAAGTTCTAGAAAGAAATTATCAGGTGAAGTGCTGGTGGCTTAACCTGTTTTACGATTGGACAATGCAGAAGATAACCAATATATCTACAAATCAGCTGCCAGGTTGGGAGATCACACCACTGGATCCAACATTATCTACCGGCTTTAATATGTTTATAATCACGTTCTAGGTGCAATACAGTGTTATCAAGCACTAAACACTGATAAAGTTCAAACATATTTAAGACTAATAACGCTGCAGTTTGTCAGCAGATCATTACACTTTTAAAAAAAGGAAAATAATTTGCATCCCATTTTTTGTTGATTATAAATTTAGAAACCACTGATGATTTAGTTTGCTTTTTTTTAATCACACCAGTATGATGTGCTTCAGTTAATGTTAGAGATGCAATAGAGATAGTTTTTGTTGAATATTACAATTACATAGTAGGTGTGATTTGCTATGCTACTAGCGTAACTATTTCAGTGTCTAAAATCCATATCAGGCTAGGGTATTAAAGGGAGTAAAGTCCATAAAACTGGATAAACCAGCTACTGTTAGGCAAAGTGGGAATGCATGACACTTGATATATCATAACTTACCAAATACTGCATCCAAGCAGTCCTTTGTGATTGTGTACAGCACATATTAATATAGCAATGATCACTGCTGATTTAGTTTGGGTTTAAGCTCTAACTTAAACCCAAACTAAAGAGATAAACTGGAAGTCTGTGTGAGGATTCCTTGTAGCTTGTGCAAAGCAAAAAGATAACAAGGAGTTGTAACAAACTGAAGAGGCACCACAGCAAAGTTTTTTTTTTGCAAGAATGTTTGCCATTCCTGGTTTGCCATTTATCCTGCTTCCACAAACAAAGCCTAAGTCAAGGCAAAACCTTTTCAATTTAACCCTGATTTCATATTTGAGCAATTTTCCCAAGGATGTGATATATTTAAAATAAAAGCAAAGATCTCAACTGGGTCATTCATGAGAGCTGAAATCAATTTAACGTCTCCAGGCATGTCAGGAATCAGTTTTATTTGGATTTAATTATTTAATCATCTTACCAGAACAGAGTGCATGCCCATGTAGACTCGGCTAACGCAGACTAGGAGGCTCCAGCTGAGAGCCACAGAGAATCCAAACAGGAAGGTGTACTGCAGAGGAGAGCACACAGAGGTCAAAACAGCAGGTTTTCAAACAGGTAATCCCAGAGAAACGCAAGTATTGTGGCTGTGGTTTTTGCTATCAGGGTTTCTCCTGATGAGTCACAGCAAGGCGCTGAAGGACAGGAGCAATGATAACAGGACACGGATAGCAGAATGGACATTTTTATGCATTGCCATATGGTCAACTTGCCGTCCTTGGCATCTTCTAAAAACTCTGAATATTTGGCTCATTTCTGTCAAGATAAGAAACTAAGCAGAGGTCACTGTGTGAGGAGGGATGTTGCGACATCAGCATTCTAACAGTGACACCTAGTCACTTGTTTAAGATCTGCATAAAGATAAAGGTTATGGCATTTAGCAACAGTCTGACAGCGTTTTGAGATAAAGTTCAGAGAGACGCACTGCTCAATTCTTGAGGCATAGATGGTGTTTGAGTCATTAAGATCAAATGTAACTTAAATGTCAGAGAATAACTTTAGAAAAGTGTCAATTAGGCAGCACTAGGGTGGATTACAAGGTGGCTGTGTGTGTGTGTTTGATGCAGAGATTTATACATTCGTGTTGGTATACAGGTTTGCAATGTCTCTTTATCGCGGTAAGAGGTGAGAAACACTGCTGACAGGTTGCGATTCAGATTTACATCATGATTTGAAATTTATATTGAAGATTTGTTACAAAGCTCTAGGAGTTCACCCTACAATCGGTGGCTCGCCGGTTCGATTCCCGCACTGCCAACCTAGTGATTTGTGTTGTTGGGCAAGACACATCACCTGCCGTACCTGCTGATGGTGCAGACCATGTCAATTTGACATATAAAATGTATTATTGTTATAACTATGCAGGAAATACCAGTTGCAAAAAAAAATAAATAAAAATGTTATGTGTTTTTCAAGCTAATTCAGAGTTGGAGATACATTTCTATAGAAAAAAGAAAAATAAACATTTTAAATCGCAACAGATAAATAATAATGATGAGATCAGAAGTTTCTAGTTATTTTCTCAGCTCTGTGATATGACAGATTTGAGCCTTTGTCTTAGCAAAAATAATGAAAAAAACAACAACTTATAACAGCTCTTCAATAAAAGATCTGAATCATTTTGCCTATAAATTCACTTCATGTAATGGACATTAGTGAGTACTGATCTTGGTTCTTAAAAATCTATCCCGCTTTCAGTGGAATATTTTACTTGCTTCATGAATTAAGTGCCGGTGATCTGCGTTTGTTTTTCTTTACAGCTTTAAAATTCACCATCTTTTTTTTTTTCTGGCTCCTTTGCTCGTTTGTCATGTCCACATCAGATACTTAAAGCAGAGAAAGTTCAAGCAGGTCAGCTGCGTCTGGTCAGTTCAAAGCCCGTCGACAGATTCCTCAACCATAAAACGTTGATGTCAGGCCCTGAACTTTTCCTTCCTAACTGATGACCTGGTGTTTTGTCTCCCGGCATGTGTTCTGTGTCTACACCCAAAAAAACAGCACAACTTTCCAGTGTGTTTGCCTCTCTTTGCCGCAAACTTTCCTTTTATGTCTCTTCCCACTGAACTCCAACAGCTTCTCCCTTCGCCTGTCTCCTGGGTGGGTGATCTTTACACTTGTCAGGAGGTTTTATCAGCACAATTGTGCATATCCGCAAATAATTTAGCAAGAAACCGCAAAGGGAAAATGGCAAAGCACATGTTTTGAGACGGTTCTCAAATAGTTTTCATATTGGAAAATATACCCACCAAATGACAGGCTATATAGCACAAGCTTAAACATTTACATAAGCTTTAATAAAGAGGTGTGTCACAAGTTCTGGACAGTCTGTTTCTAAGAAGCATATCTACACAGATAAAACCGTTCTCTCATTTATTACTAATATGCAAAAATTTACTCTTGTCCATCCACTTTATAAACTCCTTATACCCCAGGCAAGTACTTGTTGTGTAAAGTTATTGAATAAAACAGTTTCTATTTTTGAGCACTGCTTTCCGATAATTTTCATCAGATAACCCTGCTGGGACAGCCTGAAGAGCAAATATGCTGCATCCTGAAGAATATGCATATTTATATTTTAATACACTAAAAAACCTTTTGAGATTGCTTCTGAAACACATCTCCTTAATTCTTAGAAAAACATCCAATATCAATAGAAATAAACTGGTATATAGAAATGTTGGCAAAAGACAACAAATGTATTAAATTATATTTCAAGGACCGTTTGTAGCATTAATGAACATGGCAACCTTCCTAAACTCCTTACACCCCAGGCAAGTACTTGTTGTGTAAAGTTATTGAATAGAACAGTTTCTATTTTTGAGCACTGCTATTGTTTGAATTGTCATGAAAACTTCAACAGAATCATAGCCGGATTAACTGGTCATGATTTTCAATTGCAGGAAATGTTCTCTTCCTGCCAGTCACATTGGCTATAATACAGTGAAGTGAGTTTAAGTAACAAGGACTCAAACAACCTGTTGGTCGGCCTCAACAGGCCAAGATTTGCTTCTTATATGCATGAGATAGATTTCAATTTTTCTTCTTTAGCTTCTTCTCCACAGCTACTGATATTCTTTATGACTGAAGACAGAAGATAATCTGGGATTAGCTGCTTTCCAATAATTTTCATCAGATAACCCTGCTGGGACGGCCTGAAGAGCAAATATGCTGCATCCTGTAGAAAATACATATAAATATATATATTAATACCTTTTGAGATTGCTTCTGAAACACATCTCCTTAATTCTTAGAAAAACATCCAATATCAGTAGAAATAAACTGGTATATAGAAATGATGGCAAAAGACAACAAATGTATAAAATTATATTTCAAGGACCGTTTGTAGCATTTCAGCATTAATGAACATGGCAACCTTTATGAAAGAAATTATACACAAAAGCATATATAGCTTTTGTCTGATTTCACCTAAAGTGAAAGTCAAATGCATTAAACTAAGTACACAATGTTGGTTGACACACTTATAGATCAAACATGGGGGAGGAGGGGTTTATTGTTTTGAAGCATTTATCTCATACAATAAAATGTTTTTCTGTATTTTCCCCCACCAGTCACTGATCAACAGAAAAATTGAATACCCACATCTCCAGGCAAACTAATGTCAAATCTCTATTTGTGACAAAAATGTTAATAGTGAACAGTAGATAATAATTTTGCGTTCTGACTGCGAGCAATTCTAAAAATTGCATTCTAAAAACTATATTCCAATGTGAAAACTCTAGAAACCGAAGAAAAAGCAAAGTTGAGAAGTCAGAGCCTAATAAGTGGGGATATTTCTGTGATAAAAGAGGAACTGATCCCTGATCTGATTAGTCAGCTGAAGGCTTTAGACAAAAAAACAAACCTTCAGCACTATAAATAAAGCAAGAGGCCAGTGAACCATTTAGTGGCCCTTGGGGGTCTGCAGGTTCCATGATGCTTTTCTGGCATGTCTACAGTGAAACTGGAGCTGTTCTCATCTGGACATGAAGGTCATAAAACACCATCCTTTCCCTGAAGCATCTCCTACCTTCAGTTCCCTCTGATAATATCCTCACCCTGCTTCTGAAACAAATGGACATACTGACCTCCCACCGACCATAGGTCAACATGAAAAGGCAGAAGGGTATGGCTGTCCCCGTCATGGCGTGCGTGGATGGCATGCTGTACTCTGAGTTGTAGAAGACCTCCACTTTGACCACGGGAGGCGAGGCGGGTCGGGACCAGCGCACCATGTCCTTGGTAGATTGTCCCACGAACAGGTTCCAGGCCCAGACCACGATGAGCCTCCTGCTGACCAGCGCGTCGACGTTCCAGAAGAGGAAGGGGAAGAAGACGATGAAGAACATCTCGTTGCCGAGCTCTGTTCCGAAGGTGAACAGGTAGAAAAGGAACTTGTTGTGGATCAGGAACTCCTGACCCACATCCCCGGTCAGGGAGTTCCTCCGGAGGGGCTTCTTCGCTCTGGCAGTCACTGCCGCTGTTAGACCATCGGGCCTGGCCGTGTCCCCCTCCTCCTTCCCGTTAACCTGAGCCAAAACGTTATCCCCGTTCCCCACATCTTCCTCCGAGCTCCGCTGGACCCTCTGTCTGAGTCCCGGACGGTCCGGGTCCGGCTGCCCGCTGTCCGACTGGGTCCGCTTCTCCGGAAATGTCCCTTTAACGCCGCAGAAATGTTGAAACCTGGCAACATGGATGGGGTCTTGGAGATAATTACATACCTCTACAAACTTATTTACAGCAACGCTCGCCATGTCTTTAAATACTTAATTTTCTTCACACAAAACCGTTTGTTTTCAGTTGTAATTCATCGGGAAAGCTAACTAAGGTCGGGTCATTTCCTATAAGAAAACGCTCTGAGCAGGAAGACCGGTGCAGAATACCTCTCTTGAGACCTGTTTTCGGCATTTAAAATACAGACTCTGTCAGGTGGTGTGGTCCAATTAGAAACAGCGGCATTCAAAGTCCGTAACAGTTAACCATTAGTTTACAGTGCGATGCGTTCATAGATACTAACTGCGTCAGCCCGTTGGGACAGTTTATGCTCATTCTTCTTCTTCTTGTTGGATTTACTGGTGGTTGGCGCCACTTACTGGTATGGAGTGTGGTTCGTGATTGCCTATTTATTTATATAAATTCTACAATAAAAAAAATAAAATAAAAAATCTATCTATCTATCTATCTATCTATCTATCTATCTATCTATCTATCTATCTATCTATCTATCTATCTATCTATCTATCTATCTATCTATCCACACACACACACACACACACACACACACACACACACACACACACACACACACACACACACACACACACACACATATATATATATATATATATATATATATATATATATATTTATATATGTAAATATATATATATATATATATATATATATATATATATATATATATATATATATATATATATATATATATATATATATATATATATATATATATATATATATATATATATATATGTATATATGTATATATATACATATATGTATATATGTATATATATTCTTAATTTATTAGAAATTCTTCCTCAAAATTTCTAATAAATTAACCTTTTCCTTAATACATTCAAACTCTCTCCTCATATAGCTTCTCTCTTTTTCACATTTATGACATTCTAATGTAACATGTTCTATTGCTTCATATTTTCACAGTAATCACATTTCCCAGTAGTGTATAATTAAGTCCTGTATGTCCAAAGCTCAACCTTGTTATCACTCTTTCCTCCTTTCTATCTCTTCTTCCATTTCTTCTTTCTCCTACTGTCTTCTGAACTTTATAAAACCATCTTCATGTTTTTTCTTCATCCTACCATTTTGCCATTTTTTCATCAGTTTTTCTTTAACAGTACTCTTTTCCTCAGATTTAAAACTAATAGGATTTTGAATTGCCCTCTTTGCCATTTTATCTCCAATGGTTATTCTCCTCTTCTTTTTCTGCCTTTACTTTCTGTTGTTCACTCTCCAAAATGTATAAGCACCGCTTTCTACTGGACGTCTAGCATATTACACACTGTGGATACGAAATATAAAAATGTTCTGTACTCCATGTAAAGACATTGTCTTTGTTTGTTTTTTTCTTTATTGCAACAATGTTCCATTTATATGGGAAGAAAGCCTGATGATTTACTCTTAAAGGGGCAATATGATTTGCTTTAGTGCCATTATATAGCACAATCAGACAAATATGTTTCCTTCAGTTGTCATAAAAGTCTTCTATATATCACACATAAATTTGACACTATGAAATTGGACTCTGAAACTGTGCCTTCATCACAACATTGCAACTCTGTTATGCCTTTTACAACTTTTCTTACAAGCGCTGATCTGATAAATAGTTTTGTATAAGTTCAGCACTACATCTCAATTCGTGTGGGTCAAAGCAGGGCGTGTCCACATAGAGAGAGATTTATCAGAGACGACCTCTAATATTTTGAAAACTGAGAAAATGGAATGGTTTGCCCTCAATCTTGCCATTACAATCACTGAACATTTGCTCAAATGGCATGTTTGGGTGCCCATACATGCCAAGCTCACTGAATTGTTGAGTATGTGATTAGTTGTTATGTACGTCTCTGTTTAGTTCTCTCACACACTGTCTCTGTTTGTTCAATTATTAAAGTGTTCATTAACAGATACGTGTTGCTTGTTTAAACTTCAATGTTCCAATAAATAAATAAATAAATAAATAAGGCTCCAAACAATGGAAATATAGACTAAGCTTGCTTTGTGCTGGGACAGAAGATTTGGCAAGTTATTTATGGGTGCAGTTCATATGTTACTTTACTTCAAAATAACCTTAAAGAAGTGCTCTCCTTTCAAATGTGGCAACTTTTAAGAAACATACACAGGAATAAGATGTAGTATTTATTTTCTTGCGTTTTGAGTTACCACCAAAAGAAAGAAGAAAATTTAAAACAAAAACTTTAACATGTCAACGCTGACTGGCTGCAAAATGCAAAACTTAAAGATGAATATATTTTGCAGTGCATATTTGTATTATTATTTTTGTAAATAGTGTTGTCACAAGCAGGGAATCTCCAAAGTTTTATCACTATCTCCAACAAGCAAGTTTTCCAAGCATAACCATCTGAAACAGGTTGGTTAGTTGGTCAATTGAAGGATGTGGTGTAATCAGGCATTTTATTTCAACTTAGAATTTTACATTTCAGGGTTTGAAATTGGGAAAATTTACACATAACTGTCTCTTCAGTCCCTAAATCCATATAGTCAGAGGTTTCACAACATAAATGCCTTGTGCGTTTATGTGTGTGTGTGTGTGTGTAGGAGTGTGTGAAGGGTCATGTGGGGGAGGTGATGTGTGAGTGTCTGACCTCCCACTCCCACAACAAAAATCCTTATGCTTACGATAAACTCTACAATGAGAAATGAGTGCAAAGTGCATTCACATGTTCACTAAAACCAATAAAAGCTATAGATTTTCCCCCAACTAATATGTAAGGATAATTATTTAGTCTATTTAACTATTCTTTTTATATCAAACAATTGTCTTCTTTATGTAACGCATGCTTTGAGTTTTCTCTTTCTAGTAAATTATTTTTAAAGGCTCTAAATATATTTCTATATATATTTATAAAACCATGTCGTTTTATATAATCTTTTACTTTCTTATTATGTCATCTTCATAGCTACAAAAATATATGTTCTTGTGGAAGAGAGAAAAAAAATCTTCTGTTAAATGCAAGAGGCGGGAAAAAAAATCAAACATTGCACTCGGAAAGAGCCGGAAAACAAGTGGAGATGCCTTCAAAATAAAACTACTCCTGATATTATTTACATTATTATTATTTTTTATTGATAGCCAATATTACTGGCATGGTGGATGTTCCAAACACATGAATCTGTACACAGATAGGTCAGATTATATTTTATTACTTATATTAATCTGTTTTTAAGAGATGCTTGGCCGGAAGTCGAAAAGAAAAGGTTCTGCATTTGTGTAAGAACATGATAACAGCTTATGGATCAGTGAGTTTCAAATAGCATATTATTTATAGGCCCTATTATATTAAATAGTGATTTCTATTCAAGCTACATGTCTGAAAACAGGCCATCAATTAGTGAAGACAGGAGAACTTAATCCTGTTAAACCTTTTGATTCAGTTTTTCTTCGTTCTAAGATGGGGGAGTTTTTTATTGTTTTAAACCGTCCGCCGGATGTGCTGCCTCCTCTGTGATTGTGCTTGACCGTAGTGGCATGAGTTGCTGTGGGCCAGTCTGCAGAGACGGGCTGTGGGTACCAGCACCACCACCTCGGCGCATCGGCGGCTCTCTGCCCGGGTCCCTCCACCATGCATGGAGGCAAGAGGGGTCTGGTGGCTCCGCAAAACACTTTCCTGGAAAACATCGTCCGGCGCTCGAGCGGTGAGTTTTAATACTTCAAAGCGGAGGAATAAACAAAAGTGCTGTCCTTTTCATTTTTCTAAAATTCTTCTGCATCTTTTTTTAATTTATTTTTTAATTATTATTATTTTTATCATTTTGTTGCGTGTTAGGTTCTATGATATTAAAGTATGTTTTAGTGTTTCTAAAACAAAAACCTTCCTTTCGTGAGTTAAGCGGTTAAATTTCTTTCTTCGGATTCTGACTTTTATGCGCTCTGATTAATTATGTAATAACCCACCTCTGGTGTTCACACTCACCGGATGAAATCAGTGAAATAAAACCAGTTAATACCCTCTATTCGTGTTGTCCACCTTAAAGCCATGCTCCTGATATACAAGCTGTAGAAATAAGTTGTACTCCACCGGTTGCTTTATTGTTAATTAGTTTATTTTCGACTATTCATAATTAAGTTAGGAAAATTTAAAAATGTAAAACTTGTCAGTACACATTTTAAAGGCATCAAGGCAAATTTCCTTTGTTATTTCTTTATGTTTCTTTTAGATCAGCGCCCACAGTCACTGAGCACATAAACATGCCCTGCCAGACTCAACTTGCAGCCATTTTTAAAGTGGCGTTTCTTTCTCTCCACTTAAGGGATTGTTAATGTGATTTATGCCATATAGCTTCTCCTTGTTCACCTCAGTCGAGCAATGTCTTACGGTAATGCTTTTTTAATGATTCTGCCTTTGCAACATCCCATGGCAGAGACAATCTTCATGGGAGTCTCTGGATGATGCATGTGAACCTTGTATCATACATGCCGACTGTGTGATAACTGCATTTGTTTGTTTCTCCCATTAGGTGAGTTGCAAATAGAAATGTAGATCTCACCAGTTAAGCTGACAGAGCATGTGTTTATTCTAGTACTAGTTAATTCAACACCTTAAATGCGTTGAGGTCTTAGTCAGATAGCAGAAATCTTTTGTGCTCTATCTCTATCATCGCCACTTCTCCATTCTGCAGTCTGTGTTTTAACTGTTACATGGCTGTGAAACCTTTAGGCTGGCCATCAATATTTAATTTGCATTAAGCCTGGAACGTAAACCTTTTATCAGCAAATATTTCTGCTCACTGAAGCTTCAGATTAGGCTTTGTGGAGACATGAATGGCCTCTTATCGCCATTAAGTGTGTCATGTGGAGTAATTTGAAGTGTCAGTACTGGATTATGTTACAATTTGCAACTCTTTGCACAGTACATGCAGAGTTTGTTTAATGCTGTGGACACTCGAGGTGTATTGTATTCTGGATGTTCAGCCCTATTTTTTAATTTTTTTTCCTACTACTCTGTTAGAAACCAGTTTCCTTTTGGGGAATGCGCAGATCTTAGATTGGCCAGTTGTATACAGCAACGATGGATTCTGCAAGCTGTCCGGTTACCACAGAGCTGAGGTCATGCACAAGAGCAGCACATGCAAGTAAGACACCATCTGTGCTTTAATGAAGCTGAATGTCAAGCTGGAGTGGACGGGCTGTACTATATATCTTTAAGTTTTTCGTCTCCCCCAAGAATAAGTGCTCATGTTTTTGATTGATGTTAGGGTCGAAAAACTTTTTAGAATCCGAGTTTCTACAGCCAGGTTGATTTTTCTTTATTAATCTCAACTCAATTAATTATGACAAGTTAATCAAACGAT